CAACCATTCAAAGTATTGGTTATGATATATTATGCACATATATACTAATAATACGCTAAAAAGTTCGCTAACGTTTCCGGTATAACATTTCAAAAATTTCTAAAACATCAACTTTTTCTTCTACTACCTTCCTACCTACCTGATCACATCAGGGGGAGCTAGCCCCTCGACGGCTTGGACTATCGCTACAAAATTTCGCCAGCTTACTGGATTGGTGTGTGGGTATCCACTTTTTATATTCCGATAAATATATACAGATTTTTTTTATATACATGGTAAACATATCATGCACGTACTTAAATATCTTTCAACACAACAGATGGCGCTTCATATCGATGGATAGACATGTAACAGGTAAAATATGTACTTTATACATGTATAACATAAAACGTAAACAAATGAGACTATTAAGAAATATGAATTTTAAAATGAAGCAGGGATCCTGCAACAAAAAGTAATGAGACAAAAATTAAAACCGCAATCACAAATTTATAAAATTTAATCCCAACTGTAGCAGCGTTATACACTTACCTGTAGGCCAAAGTAAGGATTACATTTTATAAATTTTTGACTGTGATTTTTATTCTTCTAAAGTTTATAGCTATTAGGGATATGCCGATACTGAAAGTTTATTGATGGTGTTTCTATTCCATGGGCATATAAAGCTAAACAAACAAATAGGAAAAAAAATTAAAAGTTTAAACAAAAGTGGGGATCGTTGATTATTCCTAGAATTGCTATAAGAAGTATAAAAAATAAAATAAATGCTACAATAAAAAGTACACAAACAAGTAAAGTGACACCATTTGGTTGAATTTTAAAACAATTTTAAACCCTATTTTGGTTGGCATTTTGATCAGTATAGCTAAATGAAGAAATCTGAATTTTTCCAACCAGAGTAGATATTGAAAATCGTTTTAAAGTGTATCCAATTGGTATAATATCACTGTACTTTTCAAAATAAATGCTGCAATAAAAAGTACACCAAAAAAAGTGTTGCGAGTATTCACCAAGAAAAAATCAATTTGACATTATAAATTCACGAGATGCTTTATTTACTGTTCAGTTTTAAAATTAAGTAACTCAGAAATAACGTATGAACACATAAAAAAATGAAATGAAAATAATTGCTATTTCACATATAACATATTTGAAAATAATAGAAAATTAACATTTTAACGGAAAGTAGGGATGATTGTTTATTCATAGAATTGCTATAAGAAGTATTCAAAAAAGTTTGAACATTGAAACAGCAAGATATTTCTCTGTCAGACACACATGCGATGCGCATGCACTGATTGTTTATTTAAATCTACTACACTCACACTAGTATTTGGAAGTTGTTATTTTGAACCTGAATGGCATCATATGTGACACATGAGCATTATCATCCCAAAAATCAAAATTGCTTACCATAGGAAAGTCAACCAGTCCGAAACGTGCGCCACCTACATGGCTACTCTAAAATGAATAGCATGATTGACTATCACAGTTATGACACCTCCATATCTGAAAGTTCGAGCATGAACAGTGGTATATTGCGGCTCGAACCCTGGACCTTGCGACCCACAGCGCGGAACACTAACCACTTTAAGCCATGCCTGAATCCCATATACTCTAGCTTGATGAAAAAATAGTTTTCCATAAGTTACTGAGTGATATGTTTTGAATCGCTCTCATTGAAAACAAATTTTTCAAGAGTAAAATACTTAAATAGACAAAAATGAAAGATGTGATGAAAATAATAATTTTTTTTTTAATTTTTGAACTGTTCTGAGCAGTAAGCAATCGTTTAGTCTGCTTATGTCTAACGTCGCTAGTGGGTCTAACAAATCTTTAGCCAAGGAAAGTAAATCTTACAAGTATTTATAATTTCGGATAAACCTTTATACCTCTTTAGACTTGAATTATTTAGAAATAATAAACTTTAAAAATAAGAATGATACTTCTAGTATTTTATTTTCGTAAATACAGCATACGCAGTCTAATAATATAGAAGAAGATGGCCTAGAAGTCGAAAATATTTTTTTTTACAAAAGTTTCGGACATTTCAAAATACAATCATTTCATCTTCAGCAAAATCTGAAAATAATTTTATGATTATAGATAATACAATAAATAATGTTATAATACGTCATCAACTAACCTACTTGAAACATTTCAATTGGTTATCAGGTTCAAATACCAACTTCCAAATCCTAGAGTATATTGATTTTGAGCACGACTCTCAACCCTTACTTACAACTTACCCTTTTTTTAATATAACATGTCTGAAAAAAATTCCTTGATGAAGTTTGATCAGAAGGATAAAAACTTCGCTAAAGATAATTGAAAATTAGCAATGCATTGAGCTTATAGAAAGTGAAATAAAAAATCTGGGGTTTAAAATGAAATTAAACATTACTAAAAGTAAAATACACCACAAATTAAATTGTGGGTAACAAAATGTTTGTGCCTGCTGCCATCTTATGCATACATTTCACACTACACTTAAAAGTTTATGAAAGTATGCACTAATCTCCAGGATTGATAAAGATACACAAATATTTCACTAAGTCAACCAAGCAGTGAAAACAACATTACAATGAAAGAAGTGGTTTTAAGACCTGATTTTATAGGATCTTGTTTTAAATAACCAGAAATTTTAACATTAAAAAGAAGAATTTAACATTGATGATTTTTATAAATTCTCGCAAGTCATATAACTTTCCATCAAAACAATCTACCTCCAACGTAATTTTTTCATTCAAAGTTTATGTTTTATTTTTCATATATTTTCAGTTCTCAGTGTTAAAACAATAAATAGATAAATATGGTAATCATAGTAC